GCCGGGCCGGGCTTGACCTGCGGCTGCTGCCGCTGTGGTGCCGTTGCAGGTGAAGAAGGCGGTGGAGGCTCTCGTGGCTTTCGCCAGAAGCAAGGCCAAGGGGGACGCGCTGCTCCTCAACGAGAGTGAGAGCGTCCATCTCCTGGTGACGGTGTGGAAGGTCCCGCAGGTGGCAAAAGTTATCAGAATGTAAGACGTTGATATCCGGCCGCATGGTTACAGGGGTTGCTCGTATCGTTTGGCTTGGAAAAGAGCACTTTGCAGATTTCTGAGCTTAAAGGGTTTGACTGCTGCGGCCTTGTCCTGGGGGCTTCCATGCCGTGACTACGAACTGCCGCGTCAGAACGCTGCATTACCCCTACTTTTGGTGTAACTGGAAGCTGGTCTGTGCCAGCTTTTTGTACGGAGAATACTGATTCTGTGGTTTGCCAGTTACAGGGCATATGCCTTTCAGTCCTTAAGCTTGAGAAAATAGATCACTTTCTTTGTCTTGACCTACCAGCACTAAATCATTAGTAAAACTTCTTTTTTCTTTCGATAACGAAACCTGAATATGAATTAGAAGTCTCCTTTTAAACTATAGCCGGGCTATATTGAGAAGGTTTACATCCATGTATCAGGAAAGTTTTGTCTAATGACTGGATGCAGCCATGGCATGAAGGGAGGAGCATGGAGGCTCCTCCTCCTGGTGCCCGTGTGGTAAGGGCTGCTGACAGGATAGAGGATTCCCCCTTGTATCGGACTGGAGCCGCAGTGTTCCCTGGTTTCACATTCACAGTTCTGTATGCTTATCAAATGTAGGTTCTACTGAGGCTATTGAGTAGCTAGCAGATTCTAAATACAGGCACTTCTCTGTGTTGTTAAAGGGTACTGATTTCTCAGTATAGTCCTAGTTCTGGGGAAAACAACTTTCTCTTGTTAGGCATTCTTTATGCATCTCATATTCTCATTATAGACCACTGCCCCATGGCATTCGACCAGAAACAACTGAGGTTTGCCTGTTCACAAAGGATGAGCCAAATTTATCAGCAGAACAGACTGAAAATCTGTACAAGAAACTTTTACACCGGAATGGGGTCAGAAGTATTAGCCAGGTAAGGGAGGTCCTTGATGGTATAATACAGTACTGTTATTTCTTTCCTTTTATACCACCAAAAAGAATACAAGTTGTTCTTTTCTGCTGTATAATATTCTAATTCTCACTCGCATTATTTAGTAAAATTTTTCTGACTGCTGGACTTGCAGTGTTTCTAGAATACGAAGTTTACTCGGAATAATTTCTTCTTCAGTTTGAAACAGGATTTTTAGTAATCAGATACAATTTCTAGATAAATGTTCAATATTTAGTTTGAGTAACCAACGGGGAAAAGTCACAATGTTTAAATACTTGAGCCCTTTGCAGCTGGATTGGATTGTTTATGCCACCAGCAATAAAACTATAAAACAGCTTGTTATATTTAATCTTGATTTAGATGTTATTCATGTACTCAAGTTCTGTTTGATGATGTGCAGTTACTGTATAAGAGATCCATATTGTTTGATTCCTTAAAACAGTAGGAAATGGATACTTTTTGATTGTCTTCAGCATTCGTAAAGAATGTACTGTGATGGTCTATCAGTTATGCAACTTTAATTTGTGCAGTTCTGACAAGCATTTCAGGTTGCATTTTCAGCAGTGGGGACTAAACTAGCACTTGTGTTGCAGATCATCTCATACAAAACCCTCAAAAAGGAGTATAAAATGTTTGAAGCAAAGCGGCGCCTCCTGAACAGTTTTGATCTCTTTCTGTCTGATGACCGAATTAGAAGGCTTTTGCCCTCACATCTAGGAAAACACTTCTATGAAAAGAAAAAGTAGGTCTTTAAACTTTGGAATTCCATTCTTACATTATCTGTTTTAAGATCAGATACTTCTTAGTAATGGAGGCATTGGTTTTCTTTTGGGTTTTCTAATTATTTTCTTTTTTTTTTTTTACCCCTTTCCCTTTCTGTTTTAGGGCTCCTTTATCTGTAAACCTGAAAGCCAGAGATCTTGCCAAGGAACTAGAAAAACATATTCAAGGGACTACACTCTCAGTTCACAACAAAGGATGCTGTTAGTAAGTAAAAATAGAATAGATTAATACATCAATTGAAGGATGGTTCTACCTGAACTGTAGGAATCTCAAGTGAGTTATTTTTATTCCTTTATTGTGTGACTAAAAGATGTTAAGGGTTACCATTCCAAATAGGGGGCGTTTTGAACCTTTACCTGTATAGTTAAATTAGTAGTTCTACTTAAGATTTACTGTGAAGTTGAGGGGTTTTGTGTCCTTTTTACATAAGGAATTTTTAGGCACCTGTCACTGTCAGAGAACATGTACAGTCTTAGTTTTGCTCAGTATTTTTCTATTTCTAAAATATTCTATTCTAATAAAATTTCTTTCATGTATTGTGTGTCTGAAAGGATCTGAATTGGTAGTACTGCTTTGTAATGTAAGGCAGAAGTTTCATATCCAAATATGGACAGATGAATACAGGTGAATCCCTTCTAACTGTTATCACAAAAGATTTCTGCAATAGCCATCACTCCTTTATGGTAATTGCAGATAAATGGGCTTTTTGCATTTCTGGGTATGCCTAAACTAAACAAGTAACTTGAAATAAGTTTATTTGCCCATGTATAATTATTATTTGTCTCTTTCAGTACAACACGCATAGGTCACACTGGGATGAAAGTGGATGAGATACTTGAGAATATCATTGCAGCAGCAGAAGTGATTGGTAACAAGTTACCAAAGGTACTGCTCATCTACTGCATTACAGACAAATGGGTTCATACTACTTCAGCCTTATTTTTACACAATATACTGCTTTTGTTTTTGCAGAAATGGAAAAATGTAAAAATTCTTCACCTCAAAACACTTAAATCTGTTGCACTTCCAATATTTACTGCAAATATCTCCAACCTGGATGAGCTTGACAGACTACCATCTCTCAAGAAAACTGAAATAAAGGTAACCAACATTTCTTCAAACTTTGCATAAACTAAATCAGTACATTTAGTTCTAGGTCTTTGTCTTCCTTCTATGCATTGTCATGTTGGGTTTAAATGCATTAGTAACTGATCCCAGGCTTTTATGGCTTAAAGTGCTGAGATACTTCTGCCTGAGTGCTTCAAATACTCAGTAATAATAATGAAATTATGGAAACTCCCTTACAGGTTTTAAAGAAAACTGGAAATAAAGTGTTTCTAGACCTAAACGCAAGGGACCTGAGATTCATTCTTAGAGCTTTGCTTATACTGTTTATCCATATTTGCATTCTGAAAATACATTAATGTGTATGTGGATTTTGATTATGCATCTGTTCTTTGTTGGTTAATCAGTGGCATCTGAATAATCTCACGCTCATATTTGTGTAGATATAGGGGGAGCTTGTTGAGATATAATAATTGACTGTTCCTTTCTGCTGAGTTCTGCTTATAATCATTTGTCTGAAACTAATTTGGTCTGTGAATATTCAACTTAAAAACTGTGATGTTGACATTACTATAGTTGTAGCTATTTATAATGAACTTCCACATGTAATGCATTTTTTCATATTTTACATGTGGTTGATTAGTCCAGGTCTATTGAATAAGGGTCTTAAATGTTTCTGCACCATCTAATTTTTAACCATGTTAAAACAATTACACATTTAGAAATGGTATAGGGATTTGTTTGAGATTGTATTTCTGATTAATTCTAGAAGACAAAACCCAAGAAAGTGAAGAGGAGAGCTAAAAAACTGAAGTCAAGTCAAGTCACTGTGACAACAGGAGGTAAAGCTGCTGCTGGTACCCAGGAGCCTGTGATAAAAGAGAAAGTAGAAATAGTCCAAGAACCAGGTGATAATGATGATGAAGAAATTCCACAACTGGTGCCTATACAAACAATGAGCTCAGCTGATCTGAAGGTAATTGTTGAAAAATATTGAGAAACTTGCATTTCTGGTAAAACTAAAGGTTTTAACCTGTTTAAACTGTCCATTGCTCCTTAGAGAACAGTATATGTTAGCACACTTCAAGTAGATTAGGGTGCAGTTCACTTGAAAGTATTTGTCATTTGTAATAGTTCTCACTGATCCTTCTTCCTGAAAAACAGGAAATATGTTTCTTGGGTGGAAGGGTAATTTTTTTGTTTGTGTTAAATACAGAAAATGGAACCAAGTCCAGAAAAAGGTGACAATTTGGGCAAGAAAGCCAAAACACGCCTCGGTAAGAGAAAGAAACAATCTCTTGTGGTAGAGACTCCAAAATCAAAACCTGAGGTTACAGAAGAGTGTGTAAACTTGCAGACATCTTCAAAAGAGAAAAAAGCCAAAGCCAAGCAGGTCAGCAAGCCAAAGGAAGCAATAAAAGAAAAAGATGTGAAAAAGTCTCAAAAAAAGCCTGAAGCAAAGTCATTTGCAACACCCAAAGCTGGCAAGTCAATACAGTCAGCCAGGAAGACTTCAAAACCACCAAAGCAGGCACCCAAAAAGGTGCGCATGCCGCAGTCAGCGTGAACATTGTCTGTTGTAACACATTTTGTATCATCATACCATAGTGTATTTTCAGTAAATACATTTATTGATGAAGTAAAATACCTTCTTAGAAAATCTGATCCCAAAAGGTTTTTTTCACCAAGATTGCTAATGATTCATTGGTTTTCTTCTAATTTACAAGCTGGTTCAAATAAAATCACTGTCTTAATGGTCCCCATCACCTTTTATCTTTTCCTGGCCCAAACTGAAAACACTCGAATTTTTCAAGTGTCAAAGGGCAGAGAGGGGTCCATCCCAGGGAAAAAAGGCTGAGAAATATTTTAGTAAATGCTGTCTTTCTGAAGTAAGCATGTGTGCTAAGAGCAGCTATCATTTTAAAGGTGAAAAAACTGCTACAGTTTTTAAAAAAACTGTTCAATATAATAAAGACAGGTTGACAGCGATTGGTGTTACTGCAGATATTTAAGTTAGCAGCCTGATACCAAGCCACACATTTTTAGTTGTTTTTACCTAGGGTATTTGTGAGTTAAAAAGGCACAAGACAGTTTTGCTTTAACTATATATATTTTGAAACATCAAGCAAAATCTTACCTTCACTTTTGGGCTTTATTACTGCTACCAGGACAGTTGAGAGTGTTCCTGTATGATGGTAACAAAGCTGTTTTTCTTCCATCTGAAAAGAACCAAAGCCTGTGTGAATTCCACTTGTGACAGCCATGTGAATTCCTGTTAAGGCATGAAAAATACAGACTTCAGGACTGAAAGGTGATATATTTGAAATGTTACAGAACTGTCTCATTGTTCTCTGTATGATCACTTGTCTGTTCTTTGCAGAATGAGTGAGAGTACAAGGCAGATTTGTGTTGAAAAGTCCTAGTGGTAAAAACTCCAAATAGGAGAAAGGTGGTAAGAGACAAGATTAGTGAACAGGAACTAACCAGCCTAATTTGTCACTCAAAAAACTCATTTTAGGGTAGCCTCATATCAAGATATTGGCTACCTAGAAAGAAAGTGGGTGTTAAATAAAATGCAGTAAACACTAATGAATATGAAAATATTCTGCTTGATCTGTGGCATCAACTTTTTTTGACCTTTTTGCAACCCTTTTTGTGACTTTTCAACTATTTTGTGATCCAAAAGCTATGATAGGAATTGAGTCTGTAATCCCAGAAAACCAATAGCACTCACTGTCACTGGAGGAGTAATCTTCCTCAGAAGCATCATTTGTACACTCTTTCCACAAAAATGTGGAAGGTGCCTATGCTATTAGGCCTGTGACAGTTCATGTTGACTTGATATCTGTAGTTACTGGAACAGTGCTTTACCCATCATTAAATTAGGTGTTAGATATAACACTTTGTGGGAGCAGGCACAGGAAATCCTACATCTAACTGCAGTTCTTGTGCTTGAGTACTTGGGAATGTAAAGATATGTATCAGATCATTAATGAACACAAGGGTAAACTGTATCTTGCCTTTTACATAACTGTTTTACTTACTGAATTTTACATCCTGCATTGACAACTTGTTTCCTGTTTGTCAACCTGAACTTTTATTCCAACTGTTCTTTTTAAACACAGTTAAAGGAGTTTATGTGCATTTGCAGAGGCACATTTGTAACTGTTTTGCAAATCTCTCTGCTGTCTGCGATCAGCTGGCCTCCCTTTGCAAGTGCGGAGATGAGGGAAGTAGCTGTTCATCTGGGGATCACTTTTTTGAAGTGCCTCCCTTCTAGGGTGCCTGAGGTGGCGCTGCCTCAGCTGGAACAGCTGAGCGGGCCCAGCCGTGTCCGGCTCACCTGGGCACCGGAACGGTGGCGAGCGCTACTCCCAGAGAAGCCTCAGCTCCCAGATGCCATCAATCGCTACAGATCAGCCTTCGAGCCCTACCGCGGCCGTGCGGGGGCTCGGCGGGGCTGTTGAGAGCGGCGTGTGCCCGCCTTCCCTGCGCACAGCCGCGGGTCAAAGGCGCGGCCCGGACGTTCCCTC